CACTAGTACGCGTAGCGTTTCGGGCAGGTCCCTGGAATATGATCCCCACCACGAAGAATCGTTGTTACAACCAAGTAACAAGAAAATAAATAAACAGAGGCTACAGTTAAGGATTTGCGCCCAGTAAATCCTCCCAGGCCAGGATACGAACCCATGACAAAGTGCTCAAGGAAAGCCAGGCGAGTGTCTTACCACTACACCACGGAGACTGTATTCTCATTACAGTGTAGTAATCAACAGGTAGGGTTGTTGGTTACTACTAATGCTGTGATTGATGTGTCCTGAGGGGGTAATTAGTAGTTAAGATAGATATATATTGCTATGTACCATATCCATGTGTGTGTCTCATTGTGGGGCCTGTATCTGGCAGACAAAGCTTGGGTTTAGTCTGTGCGATGCCCTGTGTCTAAACTGCTATGTTTTCTCTAGTACTGTGTTAATTAGTACATGTAAATTGTTCAAAAAACTGTATTGTTCTCAAGGGCTGTGTAAATTAGTAAATGTGGAATAGTACTAATAACTGTGTTGTGTTAGGGCAGTTTGTGGGATCACTGTCTTAATGTGTTGGGTGGTCATTAACAGTGGGCTGTTAATGACACCTGTGTTACACACAGATCACAATTGCGTGATGTGTCAAATGAAAAAATCCACAAGGGTATATATTAAACCATGAGAACAACAACTCTACCTGTTGATTTACCATGTAGTGCCTAGTCATTTAAGGCGTGTCTGGGATCCTCACAGACGTAAGTTCAAACCCTCATCACGGCCCTTGTAGATTTGTACACCTGTGTTGTGTGTGTTTGGGCAGCAACTTTATATGTGTAAATGTTTATATTGCTGCCCTGAGTACTGTGTTTGCTTGGAGGAATCTCAAATTATAGGTAATTACGGATTTAGTAGTTAATTGTGGGTACTTTAACTTCAGAGTGGCAATCACGTTGGTTGATGAGAACAGTCATGTGATAGTATGTGGAGTTAATGAAATAAGTTTTGAACTAATTAACTGTCCTTGGGGCAGTTAATTGGTAATTAAAGTAAATTGCAGGTAATTAATACCGACAGTCGGGATGGCGACAACGTGATTGAGTTTCCTATTTCATTCTGAAGTGATTGTCCGTGGGACAGTAAATTACTTACTCAAGCTCACTATGAATGCTATTTAAGGGAATTAGCTCCTTCAAAGTGATTCCAGTAATTAAGGGATTGCAGGGTGCTGCAAGTATTAGGCAGTGATGTAGGTGTATTAATTTTTTATTGTTGCCAAACCGTGTGTGACACTACTGCCTCTACTACTGCAGGATGCTGCAGGCATAATTGACAAGTGGCATTTATATATATGTTACTGAGAGTGTGATCTATGTAACCTAAGGTTACTTGGTGTGATCTTTACTTCTGCTGTGAGGATTTAAGAATTCAGAAAAAGTTAATTAGGTGGGTTATTAACTTCATATGGGGTTGCACATTGCTTAATGAGGAAACTGCTGAGAGGGTAGCATTATTGAGCTAATGAGATATGTTTCATGTGGAATTAATTGTTCATGGGGGACAGCTTATTGCCCCCTCTAGCTAATTGTGTAATTAGCATTTTCATCGTGAATTCACATAGTGTGTGGAGGAACTGTCGGAAGAGCAACGGTACTTGTGTTAACGTAATTTTATCTTCACTAATTACCTGACTGGGACGGCTAATTAGTGGTTCATGTTAATTATGGAAGAAAATTAACGTCAAAGGGTTTGACTGACTGTCGTAGGGCGAAGTCATTGGGCTAGCTTAATTTGTTGGATTAATTTTATCTGTCTGTGGGACAATTGATTAAGCACTCGTGTTAAGTAGGGTAATTAACACCTCTACTGTGAATTCACAGTGTTTGACGAGACCTGCTTAGACAGTGTGGAATGGGAGGTATTCGTGTATAATTCATTATCAGTCCATGAGACAGTTAAATAATTGTTCAAAGTTAATTAGGGGTATTTACTGCTCATTAAAGAAAACTTGACATAAACTATGGAGAAGCTACCGAGAGGGTGGTATGCTTACTTAACATAAATCGATTGAGATTATTTAGCTGTCTGTTTAACAGTAATTAGTAATTACTCACTGAATGCTTGATGGGTCAAGTGTGATGTAATAAAGAGCTAATGTATTATTATGTTACAGTTTGACATGTCAGTGGGAGAGAAGTGTTTGTGATTAACGTAGAGTACTATTGTTGTTTCATTGTCTGTGGGAGACAAGTGTTTGTGATTAACGTAATGAAATATATTTTTTTTCTGTGGGGACAGGAGTGTGTGATTAAAGTAGAGTTTTTGTTGCTCAATGCTGTTGACAGTCAATTAACGTTATTAATCAGTCAATTAGTAATTGATTAAGCCACTTGCTTGATTATCGTCTCTGGAGATGAGAGTTAAGGTAACTTGGGGATAACCGGAGAAGTGTCTCGGGTAAACCTTGCCTAGCTTTATTTCCATTTGCAACTTAATTGCAGAGTGCTGCGAAAAGTGTTAATGTAACTGATAGGAGGAATGGAGACTTGTCTTATAACCTGCCTTGATGTTTGTTGTATAGTAATTGTATTGCAGGATGCTGCAGGGGTTTTCTGTATTGCAATCTTGTCCTCAGTGAACACTCTGAATTGTTAAAGTAGATCAATTATTCAGCCCGAATCGACAGCAGAATGGAGACTATTGTTATTGATTGGCTGTTGAATAGCTATCTTACAATGTGTCACTGGATGGACATTAACGTAACATAATGCTTGCTGTTGTAGTAGACTTAGTTCTTGTTGATAAACTTTGATTGCAATGTTGCGTCGTCCGTGGGCACACCTAAGTTCTGGGTGGTTCAGTATTCAGCCTCGTGGTATTTAACAGGAGTCGTTGCTATACATGTGTTATGACCACGCATACACCAGTATGATTATACTGGGATTGGTGTATGAGTGTGCTCAAACTATACAGTGATATCTTGGTTGATAGCCTCGTATCACGAAAATTATGTTTATGATGCAATCTCATGTTACCATATATTAATCTTATTTTATGTATTGTCAATGTGTGACATACATTTCCAAGTCTATATTAATTCTGTATCAAAGTTGTATGACGTGTAATTGTGGACATATATATATATTAGATGTCTAGTTATAGCAGTAGCCTAATGTCATTGATTTGAAAAATAACATCCTTGTATGTATATTGTAAGTAATGCTACATCCATACTATATAGGTAACATTATGTGGACCATGTTAGAGAGTGTATATATTTAGTTTCCATATGTATTCATCACATGTATACTGAGAAAATTCCATATTAGTGTTGCACCTTGCATTGCCCATTTGCCCTGACATTATATGAAATTATGGCACTGTGAACTGTTTTCCACCTAGACAATCTTATGATACACATGTTGTATATATTTAATATATTTATTATCTCTGTATGCATATGTATAACCGTTTTGGATGTCGTTGAATCCTGCCTGCAATCTTCCCTAGTGAAGTACCGACTCTGCCAGTGTTGTGATCTCGTATCCATGCTAATTCTTTGTGTACTTATTTTGTATTTCATGATAATTTCTTTAATGTATCGAATTACTATTATATATCATTGTGTAAGGTTGTGCCTTATACTTTTTAAGTTGTTGTATGGTGAATTAGAAGATCCTGAATAAGTTTATATTGTAAATGAGTTGGCGAGATTTGAAAGTTGAAGGTCTGTTGACTTATTTGGAGATGGTAACAGTGTCGCCTCTCGGCAAGCTTGCCTCAAGACGTCACTTTTCTTTGATCTCAAGCGAGCGGAGGTGTTAAGGTTTAGTCCATGATTTCTGACCTTATATTTGGGTATTGTGCCTGCTAGATGTTAATCATGTAACTGTATGTATTTATATGGATCATTTTCTATTGTTGTCCATTATGTATACCAGGTGGAAAGGTGATTATTATGTCTCTTAGTGAGGTGATATATTTTGAGGAACTTGTGAAATGCTAAGGTGATGTATGTGATATTATTCCTCTTACCTCATGTGTTATTGGTTGACACACCACCATACATGTTGGTATTAGCAGCATATAGGCACTAGTTTTCCACCGCTAGGCAAAGTTCCTGGTGTCAGCTAGTGTTGATTGATGCAGTTTGCAGACCTGTATTTGATGCATCATGCCCAGTTGTTGAGAAGCTGAATATAGAGTATTGGTGATATGTGAGTGAAATTAGTAAAGTATTTTTAGTTCTTACTGTTGTGGAAGGTTCTTAATGCCAGTAAACTTGAATATTTGTTGCTAGCTTTTCACTCCCCAAGAACCTTGAGTGATATGTGGCCAGGCTATGTGTTCCAGTGATGCTGAAGGTTACTACCTTAAGATATGTATATGGAGATTATATCTCCCCGACCATGACAGCATTGTTGTTTAGTAGCTGTTAAAGTGCCACTGGATGAACATTAATGTAATGCAAAATCATTGTTGTAGTAATCTAGTCTCTTTGTTAATAAAATTGTTACAGAAAACAGTCTTTATGTCAATCCTTCAGGAATACCATTCCACGCATGTTCTGCATTATATGATTGTTCTAGTCATGTGATCTTTTAATGAAGGTCTGCTTCTGGGATTCGATCCTGATTCATAGCGCCACACTTCAATAAAAATATGAAGTGAGCACTTGTCGGTTACCCTTAAAGGTGTCTTATCACCCGAAAAGTTAGTGACCTAAGTGGATAGGACTTCACTCAAGGGGAAAGTCCTTGCAGTTTGCTCCCGCCTTCCTATGGTCTCTTGCCTAAAGTAAAATCTGCTACTACAACACTTAACGTGTTTGCTAAGCAACACTCACCTTGTGTTTTAGTTCACACTCTCCTGCCTAAGTAGTACTGGGCCCCCACGCTCACCTTCTTTGATTGTGCGCTCTCTCCCGCCTAAGAAGTCCCGGGGCCCCTGCACTCACCTTGTCTGATTGTGTGCCTTCTCCCTCATAAGTTGTCACGAGCCCCCACACTCACCTTGTCTGATTGTGCGCACTCTCCCACCTAAGTAGTCCTGGGCCTCCAGAAGGATGACATCCTCCACGCCGTGATCCAGGAGCGTTTTGAGAGTGGTCAGACCAGCCACACCTCCTCCCACAACCACCACATCCACAGCCACAGCCCTAGACAACCTGCAACGGTTATATCTATCTCAACAACACATTATTCTGTACTGTGTGTTCCCGCGCTGAGTTGGGTACTGATTTGATCTCTGTGTTTATATATTGTTATGATCCCAGGTTGCTTGAAAAACGAGTCTACCCCCTGTGAGAGGTATTCAGCAAACCAGACCCATCTGAGCAGTCAAGGGAAATATAGACATGTAAATAAATATTAAATGCTTTGCTAATGTTGATGAATAGTTTACAAGCATGGGCAGAGAATAAATATGTAAATAAATGACTTAACATGAGATGTCAAGAGTTTAGTGGCAAAGGTGTGAGGCTCACGGCAGGGGTCTTGACCTTACTCGAGCAACAGAGTTCGTGAGAGGAGACCGCATTGTGTTTAGGCTCCTGGCAGTGAGGGAGGAATCTCTAGTTTCATGCTCTGTCAAGAGGAGGAACTAGTCAGGCTTTTGTGTATGAAGCCTGGGGACGACTTATAGCTCGAGTCATGACCAGGAGGGACTATTGGAGCCGTTTAATAGCGATTTTGTAGGCGACGAGGATCGCCAATGTCGAAGAATGGGATTTGAACGTGCCCCGCACCTGACGAATTCTGTGCAAAGTCATTTTGACCAGTTGCTAGTGATTGCCTGTAGTTGATCGTGTGTCCAGCGATAGTGGCAAGTGTTTGTAGATACATTAGGCATATTTTATTACGGCAGTAAGATTAAATATGAGAGTAAAGATAGAGGAACATCCTGGAGAAAGGAGTGACGCATCCTCCCTTGCCGAGCGCCTCTGACCAACTGAGGGCAGCGACAGGCAGCCTTGAGGGCGGAGGGGCCGTCCAGGGGAGGCGGAGTATGGACTCGTCCAAACGTGGGGAGTCCCCCTCGTTGCGTGCGGAAATTTAAAGAGATATAGAGTGAAGATACTTATGTTAGGTAAATATTTTAGTTATATGTTAGTAGGAAAACATTTTTATTGGCTTGTCAATGGGAATTACAGGTTTGTTTGGAGAAGGAGTTGATGGGAGAACTTCGAGGCCAGGGAGGAAGTTAGTGGATAGAACTCCAAAGCTGTAGAAGGAATACTGATTTCTGTGGAAGAGCAGAGCCCACATAGTAAGGAGGTGGATCTCAAGCTGTGGGAAGAGGAGCAGTGAAGTGAAGTTTCACATGCTTCTGTGGAATCAGTGGTGGAGTATCACTGGTGTTCAAGGAAAACTTCAAGGTGTAGCAGTCTGGAAGAGCTGCAGAAGATCCTAGTAGACAATTCAGGGAGGACCCAGAGTTATACAGGATAGTAAGACCCTAAATGCAGAGCGGAGGTTCATGGTAACTACTTATAATGTACTGGGAGAGTGCTTGAATGTCATTGGCATGTAAGACGCAGTGGAAGGTGAGTAACTGACCATTTCTGTGTTGAGGAATTTTTATGTAGATTTTTCCAGTGCCTTAGTCACAGACAGAGCTTTATATATTTGCAGGACCGACTGTGTAATATTGATGTTTCTAGTGTTGCAACTTTAGGCTGAGTTATATATGCATATTCTAGGATTAACTGTGCAATATTACTATTATGAGATTTAACCCACTTGGTGAGGATGGTTATATAAGTAGCAAGCCAGGAGTTGGGCAACCACTTGATATAGACGGCTGGTGAAGCCAGGATGGTATCAGATTGCAACCAGGTTATAGTAGGTTAAAGTGTTTTGGTTAATATTCTTATTTCTTTTATGCAAATGTACTGTAGATGTTCTTTGACCATTAAATGTATATAGTTAACAGGTGTTTGCCCTTGTCCTGGTGAGGCTTCCCAGAAAGCAGAAAAGAGAAAGAGAGAGAGAGGATTACAGCTGCAGGCAGGGTGGTAAGGAATACTATTTCAGAAATGGTGGATTGAGATCATTCCGAACAAGGAGAGAGTGGGGAGTCACGGTGGCTCAAGTGGGGTGTATGCACAGGAAAACGAGGTCAGTGTTGGAGCCGCACCCCCTGGAGATGTGACGCTGAACCCCTCTCCAAGATCAAGAAGCGTACAGGGTGATCTGAGAAAACTACAAGCACTCTAGAGTTCATTGTTGGTCAACCGGCGGTAGCAAGAGTGTGGCTGCCGTGGTTGGTTGTCTGTCCCGGCAGAGAGTGGTTGGGGGGGACGTGGTCTACCTGTACGTGAGGAACAGTCTGGTGCAGTAACCAGAGCTCTTTGGAGGTTTAAGCTCCATAAGACCCCAACCCCCTCAGGAAGTCCGGGACAGGGCAATATGCAACGCACGAGGCGTGATATTGGTAGTGATATTGATCGTGATATTGGTGGTGTTACTGGCGGTGATATTGGTGGTGTTACTGGCGGTGATATTGGTGGTGTTACTGGCGGTGATATTGGTGGTGTTACTGGCGATGATATTGGTGGTGTTACTGGTGGTGATATTGCTGGTGTTACTGGCGGTGATATTGGTGGTGTTACTGGTGGTGATATTGCTGGTGTTACTGGCGGTGATATTGCTGGTGTTACTGGCGGTGACATTGGTGGTGTTACTGGCGGTGATATTGCTGGTGTTACTGGTGGTGATATTGCTGGTGTTACTGGCGGTGATATTGCTGGTGTTACTGGCGGTGATATTGCTGGTGTTACTGGCGGTGATATTGCTGGTGTTACTGGTGGTGATATTGCTGGTGTTACTGGCGGTGATATTGCTGGTGTTACTGGCGGTGATATTGGTGGTGTTACTGGTGGTGATATTGCTGGTGTTACTGGCGGTGATATTGCTGGTGTTACTGGTGGTGATATTGCTAGTGTTACTGGTGGTGATATTGCTGGTGTTACTGGCGGTGATATTGCTGGTGTTACTGGCGGTGATATTGGTGGTGTTACTGGTGGTGATATTGCTGGTGTTACTGGCGGTGATATTGCTGGTGTTACTGGCGGTGATATTGCTGGTGTTACTGGCGGTGATATTGCTGGTGTTACTGGCGGTGATATTGCTGGTGTTACTGGCGGTGATATTGCTGGTGTTACTGGCGGTGATATTGCTGGTGTTACTGGCGGTGATATTGCTGGTGTTACTGGCGGTGATATTGCTGGTGTTACTGGCGGTGATATTGGTGGTGTTACTGGTGGTGATATTGCTGGTGTTACTGGTGGTGATATTGCTGGTGTTACTGGCGGTGATATTGCTGGTGTTACTGGCGGTGATATTGGTGGTGTTACTGGTGGTGATATTGCTGGTGTTACTGGCGGTGATATTGCTGGTGTTACTGGTGGTGATATTGCTGGTGTTACTGGCGGTGATATTGCTGGTGTTACTGGCGGTGATATTGCTGGTGTTACTGGCGGTGATATTGCTGGTGTTACTGGCGGTGATATTGCTGGTGTTACTGGTGGTAATATTGCTGGTGTTACTGGCGGTGATATTGGTGGTGTTACTGGCGGTGATATTGTTGGTGATACTGGACATATTTGTGGTGATTCTGGAGGTATTGATGGTGATATTGCTGGTGATATTGCTGGTGATACTGGATGTATTAATGATGATAATGGAGGAATTGGTGGTGATACTGGAGGTATGGCTAGTGATAGTGAAGGTATTAATGGTGATACTGGAGGTATTGATGGTGTTACTCGAGGTACTGATGGTGATACTGGAGGTATTGATGGTGCTGCTCGAGGTACTGATGGTGATACTGGGGGAATTTATGGTGATACTGGTGGTGACATTGGAGGTGATATTATTGGTGATATAGTGATATTGCTGGTAATACTGGAGGTGTTGATGGTGGTACTGGAGGTATTGATGGTGATACTTGTGGTCATATTGATGACCATATCAGTGGTGATATTGGTGGTGGTATTGATGGTGATATTATTGGTGATATTTATGGTGATATGGCGGTTGATATTGGTGGTGACTTCGATGGTGATATTATTGGTTATTGGTCGTGATATTGGTGGTGTTATTGCTGGTGATATTGGTGGTGTTATTGCTGGTGATATTGGTGGTGTTATTGCTGGTGATATTGGTGGTGTTATTGCTGGTGATATTGGTGGTGTTATTGCTGATGATATTGGTGGTGTTATTGCTGGTGATATTGGTGGTGTTATTGCTGGTGATATTGGTGGTGTTATTGCTGATGATATTGGTGGTGTTATTGCTGGTGATATTGGTGGTGTTATTAGTGTTAATATTGATGGTATTATTTTTGGTATTGGTGGTGATATTGGTGGTGTATTGGTGGAGTTACTGGTGTGGTTATTGGTGTGGTTATTAGTGGTGTTATTGGTGTTAATATTGGTGGAGTTATTAATGTTAATATTTCTGGTGACATTGGTGGTGATACTAGTGGTGTTATTGGTGGTGATACTAGTGGTGTTATTAATGTTAATATTGCTGATATGAATAGTGATATTGATGGTGGGATGGTAGTGATATTGGTATAGTTATTGGTGGTGTTATTGGTGTTGACATTGGTAGTGATATTGCTAATATTATTGGTGCTATTGGTGGTTATATTGGTGTTATTAGTGGAGTTACTGGTGTTTTTATTGTTGGCGATATTGTTGGTGATATGGGTGGTAACATTGGTGGTGACATTCGTGGTGATTAGTGATATTGGTGGTGACTTGCCTGGGGATATGAATGAATATGTACACGCCCATACAACCCTACACTAGGAGGAGAGACCACGGAGGCACGAGAAGATTATGTGGCAGCTCAGGGTCAGAGGAGCAAGTTGGTGACCTTCCTAGAAGGAGAACAATATGTGAAGGCTAGGTCAGGAGAAACGAGCGCTCCGGCTGAGTATAGACTGCAGTAAGCTAATATCTGGCCTTATCTTATTCCTCATAGGAGACAATGAGTGCATTAGTGACCACCCTGTGAGGGACTGGACAAACCAGTGTGCTGGGGCGCCTATGACATCCACTCACAGGAATAAAAAGGTAAATGGTTGGTAATATTAAAGATATATTTATTTTATTGGCACTTCAACAAAACTGGTGTTAAAACATTTCAAACATGCTGTAGAGTAGCAACTTATGAACATGATAATTATGGGAACAATGCACAAGGCTTGAAAAACACAATAATACTCAGTAAGCTACACTGATTAAATGTCCCAGTTTGAAATTATTACAAAGTTTTAATTGTAACAAAGCATTTGCGGCATTTCGTTTCAGAAAATTGCTTTATCTTTGGCTTGAAGTCAATGGTCTTCAGGATGTTATTTTCTATGCTCGTGAGTGAAAGCCATTTCAAACAATGGTGCCCCATTTTGCGACGAAGTAGATTTTTAATAAATTTCAGTCGTGATAAGGAGCGTTCTCCTGTTCAGTTGGTCACCATGGTGCACATGAACACTCTGAATGCAATTTCAACATTCGGGAATACAGATTTTAAATTGTCCGAAATTGTTTTTCTGTAGAGTGCAGAGAGAGAGTCTCACAAATTTCATCAAGAGCCATGTAGTGTGCTTGAGATGCTCACATTCATTTATAAGGTAATCATAATTCAGGTCTCTGTAATATATATTAGCCAGATGTTCACACATTTTCATCTAGTGTATCAGAAGCAATGGTGTTCAATTCACTGAAAAAATAAAAATTATTTCCAATCTGTGAATAAACCTGTGCGTATTTTCTCAGTTCAAAGATTAGTGTGTCCAGAATGGGGAGAAATGTTTCCACCTTGATTTTTTCGGTTTAATGAGAAGTACATCTTCTGCTGATCAATCATATCTACTAAGACGTACACTTCGTCTACGTTCCCGTTTTTTCCCATCACTGTACTCTGCATTTGGCCACGTACTCCTGGCTTTGAATTCATATTCACTAAATTTGTCTCTAGGTTCCCGATGATAGGTTTTCATAGACTCTAGAAGATTTGCGGCAACCAGGATGTTTACATCATTTGATTGCAGGACCATGTTTGTTTAGTTCATTCTGTCTAGCATGTCATTCCAAAGAATTGTGAGAGAGATTGTTTCCAGACATTCCATTTTTTGCTTAACCCTTCTGCCTCTCGCCTTGTATTCACTTCCTGTTCATTGTCAGCTGATAGAGAATCTAGTGCATGTTTCATTTTCAGGAAATCCACATACAGAGAATGAACAGCATTAAAATGTGCTGACCATCGTGTGTCAGACAGACGCTTAACCACAAAATCTTTTCCTAAGATGATGTCAGTACATTCCAGCTACGAGAAGAACCAGCAAAAAATTAATGCAGATGCTGAACAAATTCAAAGAATTTGACTGTCTGTAGACAACATTCTGCTGCGTTTACTACCTCCAAGTTCAGGCTGTGTCCAGCACAGGGGACATAAATGACAAACGCATTGAGTTGTTGAATCCCTGCTTTCAGTCCAGTATTTCGTCCAGACATATTTAAGGCATTATCGTATGACTGACCACGGCCGTTTCATAGTGGAATTTTGTTCTCATTAAGAAAATCCACGACAGTGTCTGTTAGATCTTATGATCCATGAGAAAGGTTAGGGAGGAACATCAAGAAACGTCTTGATGTATACAGCCTTTAATGTATCGGACAGTAAATGTCAGTTGATCTGTGTGCGAGATGACTGGAGTGGACTCTACACTTATTGAATAATACTTTGGGTCTTTACTTACTTTACCTGTTGCCCCATCAATTACCTGTTTAGTTTACTTACCTGTTGTCCCATCAATTCAATAAATTCTTCACAAATATTTGCAGATAAATATGACGGATACCCCATTCTCCAGGATTTCCATACATTTTGTGATGTTCTTCCAAAAAATGGTCAAATTCAATCATCAGTTCTCGTATACCTAAATAGTTGCCATTTTTTCTGACCCAATAATCGGATTTTCTCCCGGATATGACAAACCTCTAGAGACAAGACAGCTAAGTACAGAACCCACACATGTCAACACTTTAGGCCAATATTCCTGGTCTGATCGATGTTGCTCAAGTAACGAAGAATCTACACTTCCTGTTTCTTTATGCCTTATCAAATATGCAGTCACGCACTTTCGATGTTCTCCATTTTCATGTACAATAACATTGCTGTGCTTCCAGTCATTGAGCCCCAATGTAGCAAATGGAGGTTCTTTCTTTGACAACACGCGACGTACAATGCAGTTTAAACGACCTTGGGATGATGAATAGAGAAACCATTCACGTTTTACATACTCGCAGTTCCGCAGTTTACGTCTGAACACATTGATTGATAAATACCTTGCCTTCATATTCTCTACTTCAGCAATTTAATACACTCTGCGTAAGTTTGAAAGGTTGCTATCATGTTTCTGACATGATGAGGGCCCACAACGACTCCGGTAATCTATTGCGTAAGTATCATTAATGTTCCATTGCCCCGGATCTGTCTCTTGGATTGCAAACTCCTTTACTGTTGTATATTTAGGCATTTCCTCTTGAAAAATGTCACCAGCAGCAGCAACAGGCAATGATGGATTGTCTGCTGGAACAGGATGACTGGGAGCAGGAATGGATGTAGATGTTGATGCTATATCTGAAGGAGCAGTTCTAGTGGCTGACATTGCAGGAATGGATTCATGATTCATGTGGATGCTATATCTCAAGGAATGATATGAGTGGCTGTCGTTGCACCTGTGTTGAGCCACGATGTTAATTTTGGAAGTTTTCCTATTTTCTCCTGCTCCTCTGCCGCTCTCTCCCTCTCTCCGTTCTCCACTCAAAACATTACGTGTTATTTCTGATGAGAGAGGTATTCACCTGGAAATATATCTTCAAAATTTACTATTTAATTCCAAAACCGGATGTAGGGTTATATTATATAAGGGTTCGTGAAACAAGACCTAAGTATTTAAACATTCGTCTTCCATAATAAACATGTCCTATGCTCGTTGGGCCCCTACTCTCGAGGGGCCCCTACGATCGTGGGGCCCCCGTGCAAGTGCCAATTGGGCCTAAATAGTAAGACGGCTCTGATTACAACGAGGTCATTGACGCCGTGCGAGTGAAAGAAGAAGAGACAGAAAAATAAGTGATGAGGTAGTTACCAGGTGTGGTAGGTGCCTGCGAGCTGGTCACATGGGTGACCTGTGACCTGGGCCAGTGGGGGACCCGCGCTGGTGGCCGCTCCTGGCGCCGCTGTTGGAAGACATAGTCCCATGTGTCAACTTCTTGTCTCCAGGCGGTCTTCACGTATTGACTCAGCCTCCTTTGTTTATACAACTCCTGTGTAATTATATGTCACCACCAAAACACTACTATAAATGGCTCCTGTACAACACTCCTATGAAACGCTCTTGCCCCACACTTCTGCACAACACTTCTGCACAACACTCCGGCACAACACTGTGGCACATCCCTCCTGCACAACACTCCTGCACAACACTCCTGCACAACACTCCTGCACAACACTGTGGCACGTCCCTCCTGCACAACACTCCGGCACAACACTCCTGTACAACACTCCTGCATATACATAATGTACAACACTCCTGTACAATGCTCCTGTACAACGTTTCAGCACAACACACCTGCATATCACTCCTGTACTACACTCCGGTGCAACACTCCTGCACAACACACCTGTATATCACTCCTGAACTACACTCCGGTGCAACACTCCTGCACAACACACCTGTATATCATTCCTGTACTACACTCCGGTGCAACACTCCTGCACAACACACCTGTATATCACTCCTGTACTACACTCCGGTGCAACACTCCTGCACAACACACCTGCATATCACTCCTGTACTACACTCCGGTGCAACACTCCTGCACAACACACCTGTATATCACTCCTGTACTACACTCCGGTGCAACACTCCTGCACAACACACCTGTATATCACTCCTGTACTACACTCCGGTGCAACACTCCTGCACAACACACCTGCATATCACTTCTGTACTACACTCCGGTGCAACACTCCTGCACAACACACCTGCATATCACTCCTGTACTACACTCCGGTGCAACACTCCTGCACAACACACCTGTATATCACTCCTGTACTACACTCCGGTGCAACACTCCTGCACAACACACCAGCATATCACTCCTGTACAACACTCCGGTGCAACACTCCTGAACAATACTCTTGCACAACTCTCTGGTACAACTCGCATATATCTTGTATCTTGAGGTGCTTCCGGGGCTTAGCGTCCCCGCGGCCCGGTCGTCGACCAGGCCTCCTGGTTGCTGGACTGATCAACCAGGCTGTTGGACGCGGCTGCTCGCAGCCTGACGTATGAGTCACAGCCTATGTGATCAGGTATCCTTTGGAGGTGTTTGTCAAGTTCTCTCTTGAACATTGTGAGGGGTCAGGTTATCTTGAGGTTATCTTGAGATGATTTCGGGGCTTTAGTGTCCCTGCGGCCCGGTCCTCGACCAGGCCTCCACCCCCAGGAAGCAGCCCGTGTCAGCTGACTAACACCCAGGTACCTATTTTACTGCTAGGTTACAGGGGCAAAGGGTGAAAGAAACTCTGCCCATTGTTTCTCGCCGGCACTCGGGATCGAACCCGGGACCACAGGATCACAAGTCCAGTGTGCTGTCCGCTCGGCCGACCGGTCTGCCAGTTATGCCCCTTAAGTGTAGTGGAAGCGTGTTAAACAGTCCCGGGCCTCTGGTGTTGATAGAGTTCTCTCTCAGAGTACCTGTTGCACCTCTGCTTTTCATCGGGGGTATTATTCACATCCTGCCATGCCTTCTGGTCTCATGTGATGTTTTTTCTGTGTGCAGGTTTGGGACCAGCCCCTCTATTATTTTCACGTATAAATTATTATGTATCTTTCCCGCCTGCACTCAAGGGAATACAGATTTAGGCTCTTTAGTCGGTCCCAGTAGTTTAAATGTTTTACTGAGTGCATTCAAGCAGTAAAGGATCTCCGCATGCTCTCCAGATCAGCAATTTCTCCAGCTTTCAAAGGGGCTGTCATTGTGCAGTAGTACTCCACTCAAGAGAGCACAAGCGTTTTGAAAAGTATCATCATCGGTACAGCATCTCTAGTGTGAAAACTTCTTGTTATCCAACCTGTCATTTTTCTTGCAGTTGTGACGGCTACTTTATTGTGTTTTTTAAAGGTAAGATCATCCGACATGAGTACACCCAGGTCCTTTACATTGCCTTTTCGTCCCATGTTATGATTTGCCTGAGTTTTGTACGTGGTTTCCGTTTTTATATTTTCATTTTTTCCGTAGTGCATGATCTGGAACTTATCTTCGTTAAACAACATATTATTTTCTGTAGCCCATAGAAAGACCTGATCTACATCTGATTGGAGGTTTGCCGTGTCCTCTATGTTGCCTACTCTCATGAAGATCCTAGTGTCATCTGCAAAGGATGATACAGTGCTATAGGTTGTGTTCTTGTATATGAGGATGAGAAAAAGTACTAGAGCAAGCACAGTACCCTGGGGAACTGAGCTCTTCACGGTTGATGGGCTGGATTTTATTTTGTTGACTATTACACATTGGGTTCTGTTAGTCAGGAAATTGTAGATCCATCTACCTATTCTTCCGGTAATTCCTTTTGAACGCATTTCATAAACAATAACACCCTGGTCACATTTAGCAAAGGCTTTTGCGAAATCTGTGTAAATTACATCAGCGTTTTGTTTGTTTTCCATAGCATCTAATGCCATATCATAGTGAACCAGCAACTGCGACATGCAAATTCACCCTGTTCTGAAACCATGTTGTCCGGGGTTATGGAGATGCTGTGATTCCATGTATTTTGTGATCTTACTTCTTAGCACTCTCTCAAAAGTTTTTATGATGTGCGATGTTAGTGCTATCGGTCTGTAATATTTTGCCTCTGCCTTATTTCCTCCTTTATGGAGTGGTGCTCTCTCTGCTGTTTTTAGTATGTCAGGGATAACGCCAGTATCTAGGCTTTGTCTCCACAGAATGTGAAGGGCCTGCGATAGTGTTTTTTAACAGTACTTGATGAAAATGGAGTTCCAAGAATCCGGGCCTGGTGCAGAGTGCATAGGCATACTGTTTATGGCTTCTTCAAAATCCAGTGGGGATAGGGTGACGTCTGATATATAATTTGATGTTGGTATCATATCCATGAAAAATTCATTTGGGTAATCAATCTTTAGTGTGTTTAGTATCTCGCTGAAAACAGAGTCGTACTACTTCCTCAGTAACTCGCCCATTTCTTTGTTGTCATCGGTGAAAGTTCCATCTCCCTATCGCAGGGGCCCGATACTAGATGTGGTTTTTGATCATGATTTTGCATAGGAGAAAAAAATATTTCGGATTTCTCTATATTTCACTGATGGCCTTTTGCCCTCTTTGCCTCTCCTAGGTTTTGTATGATTCTTGTAGCTTGAATTCAATTGTTTCTATTTCTCTACCTTCGCATGTGCAAAACTCCTGCATAACAATTCTGTGCAACACTCCTGTAAAACATCTTTGCTAACATCAGAACAGCCTTCAGGAACCTGTGTAAGGAGTCATTACGAACCTTGTATATGTAAGACCAATCCTGGAGTATGCAGCCCCAGCATGGAGCCCGCACCTTGTCAAGCACAAGACGAAGCTGGAAAATGTTCTAAGGTATGCCACTAGGCTAGTCCCAGAACTAAGAGGCATGAGTTACAAGCTAAGGCTGCATGAAATGAACCTAATGTTGCAGGAACATAAGAGATCTCGGGGAGACATGCTCACTACCAATATAATTTTAAGAGGAATCGACAGGGTAGATAAAGATTAATTGTTTAACATTAAGGGGGGGGGGAGTACGCGAACAAGGGGGCACAGATGGAAACTGAATACCCATATGAGCCATAGGGACGTTAGAAAGAACTATTTCAGTGTCAGAGTAGTTAGCAAACGGAATGCATTAGGCAGTGATGTGGTGGAGGCTGACTCCATACACAGTTTCAAATGTAGATACAACAGAGCCCAGTAGTCTCAGGAATCTATAAACCATTTGATTGGCGGTTGAGAGGCGGGACCAAAGAGCCAGAGTTCCTCCCCCGCAAGCACAACTAGGTGAGTACAACAAGGTGAGCAACACACTCGTGTTCATGAATTATGCACAGCACTCCTGTACAACACTCCTGCACAGTCATCATGTGCAACACTCGGCACAATACCCTTGTGCAAAACTCCTGTACATAACTCCTGCACAACACTCATGCACAACACTTATGTGCAACACTACTGTATAATACTCCTGTAAAACACTTGAGCATAACTCTCCTGCACAACACTCCTGCACAACACTTCTGTACAACACTCCTGCACAACACTTCTGCACAACACTCCTGCACAACACTTCTGCACAACACTTCTGCACAACACTCCTGTACAACACTGCTGCACAACACTTCTGTACAACACTCCTGCACAACACTCCTGCACAACACTTCTGCACAACACTTCTGCACAACACTCCTGTACAACACTTCTGCACAACACTCCTGTACAACACTGCTGCACAACACTTCTGCACAACACTCCTGCACAACACTTCTGCACAACACTTCTGCACAACACTCCTGTACAACACTGCTGCACAACACTTCTGTACAACACTCCTGCACAACACTCCTGCACAACACTTCTGCACAACACTTCTGCACAACACTCCTGTACAACACTTCTGCACAACACTCCTGTACAACACTGCTGCACAACACTTCTGTACAACACTTCTGTACAACACTCCTGCACAACACTCCTGCACAGTCATCATGTGCAACACTCGGCACAATACCCTTGTGCAAAACTCCTGTACATAACTCCTGCACAACACTCATGCACAACACTTATGTGCAACACTACTGTATAATACTCCTGTAAAACACTTGAGCATAACTCTCCTGCACAACACTCCTGCACAACACTTCTGTACAACACTCCTGCACAACACTTCTGCACAACACTCCTGCACAACACTTCTGCACAACACTTCTGCACAACACTCCTGTACAACACTGCTGCACAACACTTCTGTACAACACTCCTGCACAACACTCCTGCACAACACTTCTGCACAACACTTCTGCACAACACTCCTGTACAACACTTCTGCACAACACTCCTGTACAACACTGCTGCACAACACTTCTGCACAACACTCCTGCACAACACTTCTGCACAACACTTCTGCACAACACTCCTGTACAACACTGCTGCACAACACTTCTGTACAACACTTCTGTACAACACTCCTGCACAACACTCCTGCACAACACTTCTGTACAACACTTCTGTACAACACTCCTGCACAACACTCCTGCACAACACTCCTGTACAACACTGCTGCACAACACTTCTGTACAACACTTCTGTACAACACTTCTGTACAACACTTCTGTACAACACTTCTGTACAACACTCCTGCACAACACTCCTGCACAACACTCCTGTACAACACTGCTGCACAACACTTCTGTACAACACTCCTGCACAACACTTCTGTACAACACTTCTGTACAACACTTCTGTACAACACTCCTGCACAACACTCCTGCACAACACTCCTGCACAACACTTCTTCTGCACTCCTGCACAGCACTCCTGTTGTACAGCACTCCTGCACAACACTCCTGTACAACACTCCTGCACAACACTCCTGCACAACACTTCTGTACAACACTCCTGTACAACACTGCTGCACAACACTTCTGTACAGCACTTCTGTACAACACTCCTGCACAACACTCCTGCACAACACTTCTGTACAACACTTCTGTACAACACTCCTGCACAACACTCCTGCACAACACTCCTGCACAACACTTCTGTACAACACTTCTGTACAACACTTCTGTACAACACTCCTGTACAACACTCCTGTACAACACTCCTGCACAACACTCGTGTACAACACTCCTGTACAGCACTCCTGCACAACACTCCTGTACAACACTCCTGTACAACACTCCGGCACAACTCTCCTGTACAGCACTCCTGTACAACACTCCTGCACAACACTCCTGTACAACACTCCTGTACAACACTCCTGCACAACACTCGTGTACAGCACTCCTGTACAACACTCCTGTACAACACTCCTGTACAGCACTCCTGTACAACACTCCTGCACAACACTCCTGTACAACACTCCTGTACAACACTCCTGCACAACACTCGTGTACAACACTCCTGTACAGCACTCCTGCACAACACTCCTGCACAACACTCCTGTACAACACTCCTGTACAACACTCCTGTACAACACTCCTGTACAACACTCCTGCACATCTCTCCTGTACAGCACTCCTGTACAACACTCCTGCACAGCACTCCTGTACAACACTTTTGTACAACTCTCCTGCACAACACTCCTGTACAACACTCCTGTACAACACTCCTGTACAACACTCCTGTACAACACTCCTGCACAACACTCCTGTACAACACTCCTGTACAACACTCCTGCACAACACTCGTGTACAACACTCCTGTACAGCACTCGTGCACAAACTCGTGCACAACACTCCTGTACAGCACTCCTGCACAACACTCCTGCACAACACTCCTGTACAACACTCCTGTACAACACTCCTGTACAACACTCCTGTACAACACTCCTGCACAACTCTCCTGTACAGCACTCCAGTACAACACTCCTGCACAACACTCCTGTACAACACTCCTGCACAACACTCCTGTACAACACTCCTGCACAACACTCCTCTACAAAACTCCTGCACAACACTCCTGCACAACACTCCAGTACAACACTCCTGCACAACACTCCTGTACAACACTCCTGCACAACACTCCTGTACAACACTCCTGCACAACACTCCTCTACAAAACTCCTGCACAACACTCCTGCACAACACTCCTGCACAACACTCCTGCACAACACTCCTGTACAACACTCCTGTACAACACTCCTGCACAACACTCCTGTACAACACTTTGCACAGCACTCCTGTACAACACTCCTGCACAACACTTCTGTACAACACTCCTGTACAACACTCCTGCACAACACTCCTGTACAACACTCCTGTACAACACTCCTGCACAACACTCCTGTAAAACACTCCTGCATAACACTCCTCTACAAAACTCCTGCACAACACTCCTGCACAACACTCCTGCACAACACTTTGCACAGCACTCCTGTACAACACTTCTGTACAACACTCCTGTACAACACTCCTGTACAACACTCCTGTACAACACTCCTGTACAACACTCCTGTACAACACTCCTGCACAACACTCCTGTACAACACTCCTGTACAACACTCCTGCACAACACTCCTGCACAGCACTCCTGTACAACACTCCTGCACAATACTCCTGCACAACACTCCTGCACAAAAATCCTGTACAACACTCCTGCACAACACTCCTGTACAACACTCCTGCACAACACTCCTGTACAACACTCCTGTACAACACTCCTGCACAACACTCCTGTACAACACTCCTGCACAACACTCCTGCACAACACTCCTGTACAACACTCCTGCACAACACTCCTGCACAACACTCCTGCACAACACTCCTGCACAACACTCCTGTACAACACTCCTGTACAACACTCCTGTACAACACTCCTGCACAACACTCCTGTACAACACTCCTGCACAACACTCCTGTACAACACTCCTCCACAACTCTCCTGTACAACACTCGTGTACAACACTCCTGCACAACACTCGTGTACAACACTCCTGCACAGCACCCCTGCACAACTCTCCTGTACAACACTCCTGCACAACACTCCTGTACAACACTCCTGCACAACACTCGTGTACAACACTCCTGCACAACACTCCTGCACAGCACCCCTGCACAACACTCCTGTACAACACTCCTGCACAACACTCCTGTACAACACTCCTGTACAACACTCCTGTACAACACTCCTGTACAACACTCCTGCACAACACTCCTGCACAACACTCCTGCACAACAGTCCTGTACAGCAGTCCTGCACAACGCTCCTGCACAACACTCCTGCACAACACTCCTGCACAACACTTCTGCACAACACTCGTGTACAACACTCCTGCACAACACTCGTGTACAACACTCCTGCACAACACTCGTGCACAACACTCCTGCACAACACTGGTGTACAACAATCCTGCACAACACTCGTGTACAACACTCCTGCACAACACTCGTGCACATCACTCCTGCACAACACTGGTGTACAACTATCCTTGATCACAAAGATCACAAGGCGAGGATGACAGGGACAAGAAGATGTAGGAAAAGGGTGGAAGACGTATGACTCACTCTGGTCCATAATGATGGCGTGGAGAAGGCCTGCCACTATGGCAGTACCCAAGTGTATGAGCCGCCACATTTCTCAGGTGTTATCTGGTGCGTGGCGCCGCCTTAAGTGGTGTTGGGAGGCCTTGAGCCCCCTCTGGTCGCGCCCGGTCTGACCTTGTGAGCGGACCCTGTCACCACACTACACATCACCAACACCTTGTTCGTAGGTGTTGCAGTATTGTCCTTGCACCAGTGAAATAACAGTACAATAAACAGATGTGTGAGACAGTTGTTACAGGAAATAAAGCTGATATAGAGGCGTTGACAAACAATCCCCAGTAAGACGAAGGCTCTGGCGCATGTGGTGTATCTATGACGTCACTATGAGTAGTCATATTCATATCGACCCGAACACACAACCACAGAATGTATGTTTCGCGGAATACTTCATTACTAATGTATCTCTAACTCTAGCCAGGAATTTACCAGTTGTGTATAAAGTTTTTGACAAAAGCGATTGAATATGTGCCACACCCTAAGGTAACTTTATCCACTGCTAAATAGTGAATGTTCTAGTGCAACCCCATGCAGTTTATATGCATATTATATATATATATATATATATATATATATATATATATATATATATATATATATATATATATATATATATATATATATATATTGGTAGCAGTCTTTCCTGTAGACATATATTATTAAATATAACCGAAAAAGTAAGATTAATAATTCTAACACGATTTTTCTCAATATTTCTTATATTTCTTTTCACTGTTGATGGTAACTGAAAAATCAATTCTCCAAAATTCATTTTTATTTCTAGTCTGACGCGACACCTGAACACGTTTTGTAATAACATATTACATTTTCAAAGACTTTAGTTTACACACACACAACTATAACCTGCAAACACTAAACAGAGTTTAAACAGCTTTGATTTTATACCTGCATTTGGGTGAGGTGATATGTTACAACAGTTTTGGATGAGGTGAAAACAAACTTTCAACACAAGACAGAACACGAAACAATGGGTATAATATTTTGTAAGTTAAAGGGAAGAATGGAAGTAACTGCAAAGGGCCTATTGGCCCATATTTCTTGATGCTTCTATATTGGTGCGGAGTCTTGAAGTGGGTAAAATATAATTGTGCATAAATTGGCTGTTGATTGCTGGTGTCGACTTCTTAATGTGTAGTGCCTCACAGATATCAAGCCACCTGCTATCGCTCTATCTATCGATGATTTCGGTGTTTTTTGTTAAGACTTCTCTGGTGATGGTCTGGTTGTGGGAAGAGATTATATGTTCCTTAATGGAGCCCTGTTGCTTATGCATCGTTAATCGCCTGGAAAGAGATGTTGTTGTCTTGCCTATATACTGAATTCTTTGAGGCTTACAGTCCCCAAGTGGGAATTTGAAGACATAGAGGACTTTGGTCTCTTTTAAAGCGTTCAGCTTTGTGTCTGGAGTAGGTTGTCTCGTTGTTATCTCATGTGTCCTCATGAGTAGGTTGGCCGTTTTCTTGGTTTTATAGTAGATCGTCAATTGTATCTTCTGATTTTTGTCTGTAGGGATAACGTTTCTATTAACAATATCTTTCAGGACCCTTTCCTCCGTTTTATGAGCTGTAGAAAAGAAGTTCCTGTAAAATAGTCTAATAGGGGGTACAGGTGTTGTGTTAGTTGTCTCTTCAGAGGTTGCATGGCGTTTCACCTTCCTTCTTATGATGTCTTCAACGAAACCATTGGAGAAGCCGTTGTTGATTAGGACCTACCTTACCCTACAGTAATGTCAGTGTCTACATGTCCAGTAATCTCTTTGGTTTTATCAAAGGCAAAAGTACTGCGGATTGTCTCTTAGAGTGTTTGTCTAATGTGGATGACAATTGTAGAGTTTTTGTTGATCTACAAGGAGCATTTGATAATGCCAATGGGGAAGTAATCTTATACGAATTAGCCAATCTGGGAATAACAGGGAGATTGCTACACTGGATAAGGGATTATCTACAAGGCAGAAAAGGTCAGGTGTATTACCAGGGATACATGTCTGAGGAACGGAGGTTTCAGTTAGGTACCCCACAAGGGGGAGTATTAAGTCCCACCTTATTCAATGTATTAATGAACAGATTAGCATCAGAGATGTATCCTCCAGGGGTCACGACGATTATATATGCTGATGACATTCTTATACAAGGCACTTCTGGGAACAAAATTCAAACTGCTCTTAACATACTTGGTACAACCTGTCACAAGTTAGGCTTAGTTATAAATGCAGATAAAACCAAATACGAGTATAGGAAACGAAGAAATATAACACTTACTCTAAATGGTGTGGAACTGAGCCGTGTTCAGAAGTACAAGTATCTGGGCATGTATGTTGGATACACATGTGAGAGTAAAAATGCTGAAATAAATCATATCAGCACCTTATGTAAAGCCCGTCTGCATCCTCTGAAAGCACTGGCTTTTTCTGGTAAAGGTGTTGGGGTACCTATCTTGCGGATGTTATACATAAGTACTGTTCCGTCCCTGATAGACTACGCAGCACCCGTATTGTCTTACACAGGCCAAGGCAGAATTCAAAAAATAGAGCTGATACAGAACGAGGCTATGAGGATTATTCTTGGATGTCAAAGAAATGCAATGATTGAAATAATGAGAATGGAATTAAATTTACAGAGTGTGTGTGATAGAGTCCGTGACATTAACACTAGAGTATCTATTCGTTTCATGCGGAGAAAAGGAGGGGATAAGCTGTTTGAGAGCGTTCAGACCTGCTTGAGTGACGTACACACTTCCAGGAAACTGAGGGAGACACGCTACACGAGGGGATTAGCTCATGACCTCAGGGAATACGACGTACTTGACTGCTGTAAACCCTCTCGACAGTGTAATATGTCTGCTCCCTGGAAAGTACAGAAAATAGACGTCGAAATTGTACCCCTCTAGGCGAAAAAGATTCATCATGAACCGGGACAATTACGGTGTTTGTATGGAAGCATGATATCTCGGTTACCAAGAGGCAACAGTTTACATGTATATTGCGACGGGTCGGTGGCGGAGGATGGCAGGGCCGGGTGTGGTGTCCTAATAAGGGATTGTACGGAGTTTGGGACTGTGGACAGGATAATTGAACTCCGGCTTAGTAATTATATATCATCCACACAAGTTGAACTGCAGGCCATTCTGGCGTGTTTGGAGGAAGTACGTCATGACGACAAAAATGTTTTTGTATTTGTCGATAGCCGAGGAGCACTGGAGTCCTTAAACAGTCGAAACCCAGTCTTCATGTCTATAGTTGAGGACTGTAAGAGAAGAATAACTGAGATACAGCTGAAAGGTTATAGTGTGAAATTCATGTGGATTCCATCTCATGTTGGAATAGTGCTCAACGAGGTGGCGGATGACTTGGCCAAACGTGCCACATCAAAACTACAAGTTGACATTGAATGTGAATTCACAATGAGACAAATAAGAAGCAAAATCAGAAATATTCAGGCACAGGTGGGAGTGGAGAAGAGAGAGATAATGTATGAGAGTAGTCAAACCATGCAACACTACATGTATGTGAGTCAAAACACCCATTTCACTTATGGTAAAAGGAGAAATGCTTGGAGTGACTCTGTGTACATGCGGCTCAGGCTTGGGTACAAATATTACTGGGAATATGGGTTAGATGTTCATGATAATGACACGAGGTGTAAACTATGTGGTATGTTAAGGTCTCACACCCTGGCCCATTATGTTCTTGATTGCCCGTTGATTTATGTATATAGAAACACTGAGATAAGGACTGTTCCTGAACAAATAGCCTGGATGTGTCACAACGGAAAGGTTGATGATATTCTTGAGAAATATAAGAATTTTGCACCAAGATTGTAATATTTTGTTGAATTATCTGCATGTCTCTTGCAAATTGTCTATACAGTATACCTAGGTCATAAAAGTATTTGTGGGTACGTCTGATAACATACTCCTTGTGAAGGAGGAAATGTATATGTTTACCTCTCAGAATGTTTGGCAATATGTTTATTTGTGATGTGTGTCTATGTATATATTAACACGTTGTACTGAATGGGGTGAGAATAGCTTGAGCTACCTCATCCCTTTGTGTGTATTTTACCTCAATAAACTTATTTCAATTTCAATTTCAATTTACCCTACAGAGTTCTTCATCGAATTGCTTCCATCCTGAGCTGTAGATGAGAGAACGGTCGACATAAGCGTTAACGACACTCCTCTTGACACTTGTGTTAGTTACATCACACCTGTGTTAGTTAACTCACACCTGTGTTGACCTTCACCCACCAAGCCCACTTCTCCTCCAAACACACTACACCCACCAAGGACACTCTACCCACTAAGGACACTTCACCCATCAAGCAAACTCCAACTGCCACGCACACTACCCCCACCAAGCACAAACCACCCAACAAACACACTCCAACCACCAAACACACTACTCCCGCCAATCACACTACACATACCAAGCACACTACACCCACCAAGCAAACTCCACCCGCCAAGCACACTCCACGATCCAAGCACACTCCACCCAACAACTAGACTACACCAGACAAGCACACTCCACCCACTATGTTCACTGTATCTACCAAGCACTCTCTACCTACCAAGCACACTCCACCCACAAAGCACATTCCACCCACCAACCACACTCCACCGACTAAGCACACTCTTCCCCGAAGAACACCACACCCACCTAGCACACTACACCCGCCTAACACACTCCACACGCCAAACTCACTCAACCACCAAGCACACTACACCCACCAAGCACACTCCACCCACCAAGCAAACTCCACCGACAGAGCACAATCCACCCACTAACCACAGTCCACTCGCCAAACTCACTCCACCCACCAAGTATACTCCACCTTCAAGGCACACTCAACCCACAGAGCACACTCCACCTACCAAGCACATCCACCAACCAAGCACATTCCACCCAACAAGCACAATCCTCCTACCAGTCAACTCCACCCGTCTGGCACACTACACTCACCAAGCACACTCCTCCCGCTAAACAAACTCCACCCTCCAAGCACACTCCACCCGCCAAACACTTTCCACCCATGAAGCACATTCTATCCACGAATCA